CCTGCTGCCGTCTCCCACCACCACCAGCCCCGTGCCCGGGAGCGGGGACACCGCTGCCACCTCAGGGGGACAAACCCCGACCCCGCCAACCCGCTGGTTGTATCTCTTGAAGGGACGGCCCTGCTCCCAGCTAGGCTCAGCTATCACTTCTAGCGTAAAAACCCCCTCCCCCTCCCCAAATCTCAGCACCCCACCTCTGCCCCATAGCGGTGGGGCTGCCCTGGGACCGGCCCTGACCCCGCTCTGCTTTCCCCCAAAAAAACCCCCCGTGCAGATCCCGAGAGGACGAGCACCCACATGATCTCGGCGGACGATGCCGAGTACCCGCGGGAATACCGGACCTTGGGCAACGGCACCCGGCGCTTCTCCAACGTAGGGCTGGTGCACACCTCGGAGCGCCGGCACACCGTCATCGCCGCCCAGAGCCTGGAGGCCCTCACCGGCCTCCAGAAGTCGGAGATGGAGCGCAAGCGGGACGCCTTCATGGACCACCTGAAGAACAAGTACCCGCAGCACGCCCTGGCGCTCCGGGGACAGCAGGAACGCATGCGGGACCAGGTAAGGGGCGTCTTCTCGGGGTAAGGGGGGGAACGGGGACCCTATCTCAACCCTTTGGGGATGTCTGGAGGAGAAGAGGCTCACCGGGGGCTTGGATGGTGCATGAAATGGGTGGCCGCTTGTAGCAACCCCAAGGCGGAGCATCCCCCAGGACTGAGGAGGAATATCCTCCCTGTCTGAGGAAGAGCATCCTCCAGGCCTGAGGAGGAACATCCTTCAGCCCCAGGGGGGAACATCCCTAAGGTCTGAGGAGGAACATCTTCCGGGTCTGAGAAGGAGCATCCTCCAGATCTGAGGAAGAGCATCCTCCAGGTCTGAGGAAGAGCATCCTCCAGGTCTGAGGAAGAGCATCCCCCAGGTCTGAGGAGAAGCATCCCCCAGGTCTGAGGAAGAGCATCCTCCAGGTCTGAGGAGGAGCATCCCCCAGGTCTGAGGAGGAGCATCCCTCAGCCCCGGGACAAAGCATCCCCCAGCCCTGGGGGGGAGCACCCCCCTCTCTCCCTGGCACTGGGGGGGTCGCAGGCAGTTTTACCGTGTCATACGTGTGGCTTCGGCCCCGCTGGCTGTCAGCAACCCCGGGGAGGAGAGGGCTGTTTCTCTGTGCAGAAGGGGGGGCGGGTGATGGCCATGAGGGGCAGCCGGCACCCGGGTTTGCTCCGCGGAGGGGTGACACCCAGCCCAGGTCTCAAGCAGAGGACAACCCAGGACAAGCAGAGGCAGCGAGGGCCCACGGCTCTGCCCCGGCACGTGCCGCTGTGCTGCGCGGGATGGGTGAAGGGCAACCGGGGTTTGGTACCCACGTCCACGTGGGGATGTCCCTGGGTTGCCTGTTCCCAGGGGGACTCAATCCTCCCCCCAGGGACGAGCTGGTCCTCGGAGCAGGGCGGTGGGTGACACATCTGGGCACCTTTGGTGAAAGCCCCAGGGTTGGGTGGTCCCTGGGCACAATATCCACCCCAGGGGTGGCCCCCCCCAAGGTGCTGGGGAGTCCAGACCGCTCCTCATGTGGGTCCCAGTGACGCCCCAGTGATGCTGTCGGGGCAGCAATACATCCCCTCCCCCCAAAAACGGGCACCGTCACGCAGAGGCGGAGGGGAGGAGGAGCGGGCAGGGGGTGGGGGACGCAGTTGGAGAGACATCTTAGATCATCTCCAACCAGACGTCTCCCCAAGGGATGGAGGCGACGGCTCCCAGACCCCACGCGGCGCGAAGAAATCCCGCTTTTATCAGGAAAACCGACGGGGCCCCGGCGTGCCGCCCGCGCCGCAGCGCCATCGCTGCCATCCCCCTCGCAGCATCCCCCGGGAAGCACCGGGGGGGAGTCTCCGCTCCGCAGCTCCTCTCCCCACTGGGTGATGCCAAAATCCTGCCCGGCCGCGGTGGCCGGTGCCGTCCGCGCCGCAGCGCCATCGCTGCCATCCCCCTCGCAGCATCCCCCGGGAAGCACCGGGGGGGAGTCTCCGCTCCGCAGCTCCTCTCCCCACTGGGTGATGCCAAAATCCTGCCCGGCCGCGGTGGCCGGCGCCGGCCGAGCATCCCGATTTCGGCTAAGCGGGGATTATCGACGGCGGGCTTTCGC